GGGACTGAGCCCAGCTCTTGGCTCTATACTCAGCAGGGTGTCTCCTTGAGGTTTCTCTCTTTCTCTTCCTCTGCCCCTCCCCCCACTTATGTGTGCACACAGGTTCTCTAAAATAAATAAAGAAATTTTTAAAAATAAATAAATAAACCCTGCATATAGTTTGCCCCAGTATTAACATTATACACTAATATGGTATATTTGTCATAATTAACTAACAATGTAGATACATTATTATTATTATTATTATTATTATTATTTTGTAATGCCTTTAGTATCCTCCCTTTAGCTCCATATCAGCAACTTGATCCAGAGAAAGGAGAACGGGTGTCACAGTACAGAGAACTTGGTCCAAGACCTGTCTCTAACCTCTGCCTAGTTATATAGATGCCCTTCATGTGACAACCTCAAGGGGCCTCAATTTCCCATCTGCAAAAATTCCTTCGTAGGAAAAGACCCCAGAAATAAAGCTTTATTCCTGTCACTTTATTTCCATCTCTAGCTATAGGAGCTGCCTTGGCAACTCTAAACACCTTGTACAGTAATAAAATTGAACATTTTAGCTATGTCTAGTGAAATTCATAAAAAAAAAATTACAACCACTTCCTATGTCTTCAACACCATCTAATACTGTGAGGAATTTAACTAGGAGGTGTTAAGGAAACCAGATGCTGACCTAATAGTAGTTCAGATGCTTGTTATTAGTTTAGTGACATATTTCTCTTTAGAAGAGAAAACTAGGTGATAATATTTCCTTCTTAGGTCCCAGTCTTAGATGTTGAGTCTCCATAATAAATCACCCCTTAAATAAATAAAATGTAAAATTTTCTAAGGCACAGGTTGGCAACCACTTACTGTAAGGGCCAGATAGCAAATATTTTAGGCACTGCAGACCATATGGTCCCTGTCACGGCTACTCTACCCTGCTGTTGTAGCACAATCATACTTGAATGGATGAGCGTGTGCCAGTCAAACTTTATTTACACAAACAGCCAGTAAGCTACCTTTGGCCTGTAGATCATCACTTGCTGACTTCTGATTAAGGCATGAATGAATGAAAATGACAGTCACCATAACTGATTCAGAAAATCCCAAGTTATGAGTGAGAGACAAGTTTCAGGAGATTCTTACATGGTGATTCTGAAATTATTAAGGCTTTTTGGTTAATAATGAATGATGTCATGTTTTTTACTGAGTGTGCATTCTCTTAGTTCAGCATATTTGACTCAGGAATGAACTGGCCCTTGAAGTAGATTTGGATTCTTTAAGTTGAATGCCAATGAACCCATCCTGGCTTCCTAACCTTGGTGCAGATAAAGGATCACTTAGAGGAATCAGAAAGCTTAAAGGAATCAGAGACAGTGCAGGAAATATTGTAACAATAACTGCCATGTATTGACCCGCCCTCCCCATCACCAACTATGATCCGTAGTATCCCACTTTACGGAAAAAGTGGGAGAGGACAAGCACCATGATCACACAGTCAGGGTCTGAGCCAGCTGAATTACTCTCCCCATGGCCACACGTCCCTCCACAGAAGTAACCAGCTTTCACTGGGACACTCACATTTCTTCTGATTTAGAACCAAACCTTGTAGGGCAGGAGGAGGTAGGTATCACCTCTTCTTCCTTCTGGTTTTACTTGCCAGTAGCTGTTACATTTAAACACAAACAATAAATGTTTCCTGAGTTACCCTCTATGCACCAAGTATAAAGCGTTTAGTATGTTATAAAATCTATTTTCCTTCCATTTCTGGAACTGCAGAGACAAGGAAATGAAAGCTCAATCAATTAAGCAATTTGTGCAAAGTTACACCTATAGTGAATTGTGGAGTCAGAATTTGGACATAGTTCTCACCAACTCCAAAGCCTTTTCCACACATACAACTACCACAGAGCTTAGTGGTTAAACTGCCAGGTTTTCCAGCTAGACTGATTGCATTCGGATCTCAAACTCGCTGCTTAACTAGTTGCATCACCTTGGACAAATTCTTAATGGACACATGTTGTTAGTTCCTTGATTTGTCAAATTTAGGATGATGATAATAATTTCCTTCTCACAGTTTAATAGAAGGAATAAAGCAGTGACAGGCACATAGTACACAGAACAAGCATTGGATTTTTCCACAGACTACAAGCTCTATGAGCACAGGAGTCTGTTTTGTTCACTGTTGTATTCCTAGCACTTAGAATAATGTCTAGCACATAGTAGACAATATTGTTCATGAATGAAAAAATGTTCAAACTAGTCTTTAGATTAAGTTCTGACTGTGTTCAACGCCAGAAGGAATGAACATGGCTCTCCTTTTTCATTCCTTTCTATGGTATACCATGAATTTTACAGGTAAAATTTAATGTGAGTCTTTGAGATAATTTCAGGTGTAATAATGGAAACTAGTGATTGTCTTCATTATTTCAATGTTCCTAACAAAAGGGGATATTAGTGCAAAGCAGAAGCTGGGGCTCATCGCTCACACATAGCTTCAGAGATACCCTCCACCTTCATGGCTGCTCCTGAAGGAGCACTATTGTGTAATGCCTTTTAAAACTCCTTTTATCTTTTTTTTTTAATTGAATCCGTCCTTATAGCATAGATTTTATCTCTGAAAATTTGTTTTTACTAAGCTTGTATTATATTTAATACTGTATCTTCTAAATCCAAGCCAGTATTTAGTGACAACAGCTGCCAGGAGCCCCTGTAATGAATGAATTATGGTCCCATTTAGCTAGCGAGATTGCGTTTGATGTGTACACTTCAGTACTGAGGGGGGCTCCAGAGAGCAACAATGCCTCCAGAGAAAAGGGCAGCCTTATCTCCTAGTTTGAACAAGCACAAAGAGGAACATGCACAGGAAATATGGAGGCGCCTTTGAACAAACAGCTTTTGCAGGATTTATGTGCAGCATTCACAGAGGCTAAGCTCCAGGTATTTCCAAAATCACCACCTAGACAATGTTGCACCTTGGCAGCAAACCATTTTTAAGGCTTTACTGGATTTATAATATTCATCCTGAGTGGTGATTAACTGATACCCCTAACACATAACAAAGCACTGGGGTTCTACTTTTTTTCCCCAACTTACACTGCGTAAGTTATTGTTTTCATTAAGATTAAGCATCTCACAAAATTACACAGCAGTTAACTTGTGCAACCACCTCCTTAGAATGCTCTATCTTTGAAAATGTGCCTACCAAAGAATCCTTTAAGACCTCATAGCATAGGGCACCTCCATGACTCAGTCATTAAGTGTCTGCCTTCACCTCAGGTCATGATCTCAGGGTCCTGGGATCGAGCCCCACATTGAGCTCTCTGATCAGCGGAGATCTTGCTTCTCCCGTGCCCTCTGTCTGCTGCTAGTGCTTGCTTGTTCTTTCTCTCTCTCAAATAAATAAATAAATAAAATCTTAAAAGACCTTTTAACACATACTATGTAATTGGAGCCCCAAATGAAGCATTGTTTTTGTTAGTTTTAATGCAGAATCCTCTATATGTTTTCTATAAAATAATTAAAGTAAATAAGTTTTTCTTTTAAAGTTTTGTCTGCCTGTAGTCAAAATAATTTGTAGACTTATTAGCCTGATTTGTATTTTTCTTCTAGTCAATTAGAAGTAAATATGTAACACATTTTGGAAAACTTTATAAATGAAAGTGCTGCTCCATTTTAAAATATATATACATTTGATTATCCTGTATGCTAAACTATAAATTAAACTGTAAGCTGAAAAGTTAAAGAATGCTGTGAGGTTGAGGGGCACCTACATGGCTTAGTCGGTTGAGTCCGAATCTTAATTTTAGCTCAGGTAGTGATCTCAGGGTCCTGGGATTAAGCCCCAGGTCATGCTCCCTGCTTAGCAGGAAGTCTGCCTGGGATTTTCTGTTTCCCTCTCCCTCCACCCCTCCCACCCCTCCTGCTCTCATGCTCTCCCTCTAATAAATAAACAAATCTTAAAAAAAAAAAAAAGAATGCTGTGAAGTTGACCTGATAGATGATAGATAGATAAAGAGATAGATAGAAAGATAGATATCTCCATATATATATGGAGAGAGAGAGAGAGAGAGAGATATTGTGAAGACTATTTTTCAGGAAACCATTGGTAAAATTTAGTTTTGAGGTTAACACTATGAATTAAGAATTTGGTCTAAATGACTGCAGTAAAGACAAATAAAATGTGTCCTGAGAAAACTTATACATAAAGTGTGCTAAGCCTGGAAATATGGTAAAATTCCCTGTTACTTAATTTTTTATTGAAATAACAGCTAAAATTTGTTATGCATGAAAAATTATAGGGAAAGCTTCTTACATGGGTTATTTTACTTCCTCCTCAGGTAATATTATTATCGTCATGTATTGATGAAGAAAAAGAGAAGGTAATAGGGATTTGTGGAGGTCAAGTGATTTGCTAGAGTTGCCAGCATAGGGGAGGAGCAGAGCCCAAGATTCAAATCTAGAAAACTTGCCTCTGGAACCTGAATTCTTGCCCAGGACATAAAGCTAAATCCCTGATAAGACTGCCAATAAACACATGTTTCAGTTGAATATGAAGAAGGTCAAATATACAACCTATAAATATAATCCTATTATAGGTAATATAACAAATCGTATTCGGAATAAGCAAAAACACATTTGCCTATCCCACTAAAAAAAGCAATTCTAACTTTTAGAAAGCAGAATTTCAGGGAATGATAACTTCACAGTACCCTAGAAGTTCCGTTTTGTTTTGTATCCCAGATTATGATTTCTACATCTTATTTGAATTCATTAACTAACGAATGACTATTCCTGTAAGTATTGTTATTCTTTTTTTTAATCTAGACATGACAAATCTGAGCTTCAAAGAAGAAAATCATCTAATGTCACGTAGCAACACAGTAGCAGAAATGAAATTCAAACCCAAGTCTTAGGATTTCAAGTCCAATTAATTATTTTAATCTTCAGCTACAGGATGACAGAGTGAGAACAAAAATGGTTTGTGAAATAGACTCAACACTTCTTTCTTCTCAAAGGTCGCTACCCTCAGGAGAACAAAGGAACCTACATTCCAGTTCCTATCGTCCCGGAGCTGCAGAGAGGCAAGTGGGGGGCCAAAGTTGTCATGAGAGAGGACAGGTCTGTCCGGCTGTCCATCCAGTCTTCTCCAGAGTGTATTGTGGGGAAGTTCCGCATGTATGTTGCTGTCTGGACCCCCTACGGCATACTTCGTACCAGCCGAAACCCAGAAACAGACACCTACATTCTCTTCAATCCTTGGTGTGAAGGTAAGGAGCAAGCATTTTTCTCATTTAAAAAAAAAAATTGCTCATATTTTTCCAAAGCATCTCTTTTTGGAGGGTTAGCAGAATTATTCTAGAAGATATGTCCCTTTTCTACATACACTGTTTCCCATGGTTGAAAAACGTGAAAAAATGAAATTTGTCCTTAATGTATATGAGGACAAAGCCTGTACATGTGAAATTAATACTGGTAAACATTTATTCCAGGAAATAATCGAAGAATGCCTGAAGTTGCACAATTAGTTAATTGTGGAGCTGGGTGTTGATGGTGTCACTTCTGTGTATGTTATTACTCTGTAAACAAAATGGGCTTTCAAGACTGTTAGGTTCTATAATCTGGCTTCAGAAAAATAGGATAAAGTTGATCCTATCCATAGTAAAACAAACTTCTCTATCTCCCTAATTCAAGAACAGAAAGCCTGAATGTTGGAAGAATCCCATAAATTTGTGTATATGCCAATTTGGTATAAATTTCATAAACCATAACTCTGGATGTACAAATATGTAACTTTAGTTTAATATAATACAACTTAATCTCTACTGCTATTCTGATTCTCCCTGTCTTATAGAAACTTAATCTACTTATATTCAAATAAAATAGGCCAAGTCCTAGGATCTCTCTCAATTCAGTTTAAAAACTTAGTCATGCACAGTAATTTTCCCCCATCCCCATGTCTGCCCTTCTTTATCTGCCCACTGCTTCCATACTTGGAACGGAGCTGATTTTCAGTTCCAGAAGCAGAAGCAAACATTGCAGCTGCATTAATGGGAGAGGGTGCACTTTTGGATCTTAAAAAATAAGGTAATGAAACTTATTAAAAGCTGACACAGGATGGGAGATGTCTCACATCATCTTACTTCCTGTGTATTGCTCTCCACCATCTTCCAAAATGAGTCTGTATTTTTTTTTTTTTTTGCTGATTTTGAATGACCATTGCTTGTGAGAATGGCATTTGAATCAGGGTTGAGCTGCACTTACCTGTTGATAATAAGTGAACAACAACATTGTTTACTCATATATAATATAAACCTGGATCCTACTTTGAATTATCAGTTCCAGTAGTGTTGGCAGATGGCACTGAGCTAATCCTATACTCCCCACTCTCCACCCCATCATCTTGTACCTGATAATCCTATCTCTGAGACAGATGTCCAAGGCTGATGGTAATAGGAGATGTTAATGGGGCCATGTGCTGTTCAAAGGTGCCCTCCTGTGTACAATAATCTTGTCAACCAGATATAAAGCATTCTGTGACTGAGGGGATGTGGTGCTACTTACAGGGGTGGGAAAGACTAAAGGGAATGAAGGTGTAGAAACACACTATGATTTTTAAAATCTTAAGTTGGAGTTAATTGTAGATACCCAAGCAGAGATGACAAGTAGGTATTCCATTCTGTGAATCTGGAGACAAGAATCAGAGTTGTAAACTTGGGAGTCATTTGCATCTAGGGAGAAAATACAGAGAGGAAAGAAGATAGAGCATTAAGCCCTAAGGAACACCAGCATTTGAAGGTCTAATAGAGAATGAATTGGCAAAGAAATGAAGTGGAGAAGTACTTAGGTCATGGCCTATTGTAAAAAATTGTATTTTAAGAATCCATATTTGTAAAATAAATAAACTAGGGATTCATTATTAATTTTCTTTGCATTACAAATAGAAAATCATATAATTTCATATAACTATCCGGCACTCTGGTATTTAGAAATGATATGGTTTACCCCAAATTTGGTATAATCCCCAAAAAGGATTATATCACATATCATGGGGTATGTGTCTACATGCATTTCAATCTATGTTTCCAGTTTTCCAGAGGTGAAAAGGGTTTGTCATGTTGCCTGACAGTGAGTTTATAGGAGAATCATTCAGGAAGTAGATAGTTTAATAACTTTCTACTACCTGATCCCTGCCTTGGTTTTATCCATGGTGAGCAGCTTCCAGGTTTCCCTGTTCAGAAGGAGTTTCCTGGTGTAGAGATAACATGGCCCAATACTTGATGCTACATTACAGAAAGGGAATAGAGGGCCCTCCCCTAGGTATCACTGAAAGGACAGATGAGAACAAAACTAGGCAGATCAGTTTGGAAGCTGTGGCCCAGGACAGAGATGATGATGGATGATGGTGGCAGTGGAGATGAAGAAGAGGGGATGAATTGGAGAATGCTTTGGATTTAGAACAGAAAATGAAGAGGGGTTGATCATGGGAGGTGAAGAAGAGAGAGGAGTCAAGAATAACTCTAGGTGGCCTGTATCTGACTGACTAGGTTTGTGGTGGTGCTGTTTTCAGAGCTAGGAAGACTGGGGAAAGTGGAGGAGAAGATCTAGGGGTGGAACTAAGAATTATATTTAGAAATGTTAATTTGGCGATATCTGTGGGATCTTCAAGTGAAAACATCAAGTAGTCACTTGAATCAGTGAATCTAGAGCTCCACGGAGATAGCTGAGCTTGGGATGTAAATATGGGCACCATCTAGCAGGAGCTAGCAGGGAAGTTTAAAGAAAGAACAGACACAGATTTAGTATCATCAGCAATTAGAGTCTAGACAAAGGAGAAGGAGACTGAGAAGGAGTTAAAGGAAATCAGTAAAGCATGGTGTCACAGAGCTGGATAATTGATTGATTCAAGAAGACAGCAACTGGTTCTTTGGAATGATGCTGATGAGTTAAATAGGACAGGGAAAGAAAATTGCCATAAACTGTGGAAATATGGAAGTCACTGGGGAACTTGGAAAGTTTTTTTTACCACAGTGATGGGGAAAGAAGCCAGAGAGATGGGCATGGGCTAGAGTGCAATGGGAAGTAAGAATGTGGAGATAACAGCTATTGCCATGTTCTGCAAGAAGACTTTCTGTAAAACAGAGATGGTGATATGAAGGTCAAAGAAGAATTTTTTTAAAGACAGAATAGATTAGGCATAATTTTATGGAGGTGGAGACAAACCAAGAAAAATTGAGTTTACTGCCCAGAGAGAAGGTAGCAGTCCACAGCCTTGGCTACACATTAGAATCACCCAGGCAGTTAACTACATATGTCTCAGACATTCTGGTTGGTCTGGTATGTAGCCTGGGCTTTAGGGTTTGTCTGTTTTGTTTTGTTTTGTTTTTCTAGAGAGAGAGATAATGTGAGTTGGGGGAGGGTTAGATGTAGAAGGAGAGAGAGAATCTGAAGCAGGCTCCACACCTAGTTGTCACCATGAGATCATGACCAGATCTAGAGTCAGACTCCTAACTGACTGAGCCACCCAGGCACTCTTGGGCTTTAGGGTTTTTAAAAAGGTCTGCAGGTGATTTTTAAAGCCAAGGTTGAGAAGAACCAACATAGGGATTAAAATCCTTGACTGAGTGGAATTCAGGGAACAGGTGAAGAAGAGCCCTTGATAGGTGTGGCTGTCCACCCTCCACTGTGACAAGAGCAATGTGGAAGATGGGTTAAGTATGAAGCTTTTCTAGATTAAGTGGAAGGAAGACAAGGTTGTTTCCATTCTGTGATGTCTTTTTCCCAGTGAGGTGAAATTCAAAGTCATCTGTTCAGAATCAGAAGCAAGAAAGGGAGTGTTAGAGGTTCATAAAAAAGGGCTGAAGAGTTTGGAGGTGGGAAGAGGGCTTATTCCAGGAACATGGCAAGAAGATATTTGTGAATATCTTCTCCCATTTCATGGGTTGCCTCTTTGTTTTCTTGACTGTTTCCTTTGCTGTGCCCAAGCTTTTGATCTGGATGAAGTCCCAAAAATTCATTTTCACTTTTATTTCCTTTGCCTTTGGAGACATATCTTGAAAGAAAATTGCTCTAGCTGATATTGAAGAGGTTACTGCCTATGTTCTCCTCTACTTTGCTTAAAATTTCACCAACTCCTTAAACCCAATCCCAGTCTCTCCCCACCTTATTGTCTCTTCTCTGAATCCTTTCATTCCTCCTTGTTCCCATGCTCCTCTTGCATCCTCCCTTAGGAGGAGACTCTCTGTATTCTCTCATGTAGAGCAATTCAGCAAGATTTTTTTATTTTGCTGTTTGGGTTCTTGCAACAATTAGGCTTTTGGGGACTACACACTTTTCCAAGATCATTCCCTTCAGAAAAATTCTGGTGCCAGTTTTTAAGCTAAGACCCTTTTAAATTTTAAAATTAATCCCCACTGAGGGGCAGTGGGGATTAATTTTAGCCACCTAATGGGGATCCCCACTAGGTGCCTCAGTCGTTTCAGTGTCTGGCTTTTGATTTCAGCTCAGATCATGATCTCAGGGTTGTGAGACTGAGCCCTGCATCAGGTTCTGAACTCAGCACAGAATCTGCTTGAGATTCTTTCCCTCTGCCTCTGCCCCTTCCCCTACTCTGTCTCTCTCATTCTTTCTCTAAAATAAAATAAATAACAAAATCTTTTCTAAACATGCTCACTGAGATCTCTGAGAGAATGCTTATGAAATGGGAGAAGGATATCACCTCCTCACCTCATGCACTGTGTAGTTTTCCCAGCCCAGAAATTAAGGCATAAAATTCAAAAAGAAGATCTGTTCTTTATAGAACCTGGATATCAACCTCTTGTCTGTACTGTCATTTGCAATTATATTCTCCCATTCCGTGGGTTGCCTCTTTGTTTTGCTGACTGTTTCCTTTGCTGTGCAGAAGCTTTTGATTTTGATGAAGTCCCAAAAGTTCATTTTTGCTTTTGTTTCCTTTGTCTTTGGAGACATATCTTGAAAGAAGTTGCTATGGCTGATATCGAAGAGATTACTGCCTATGTTCTCCTCTAGGATTCTGATGGATTCCTGTCTCACGTTGAGGTCTTTTATCCATTTTGAGTTTATCTTTGTGTACGGTGTAAGAGAATGTTTGAGTTTCATTCTTCTGCATATAGCTGTCCAGTTTTCCCAGCACCATTTATTGAAGAGACTGTCTTCTTTCCACTGTATATTTTTTCCTGTTTTGTCAAAGATTATTTGCCCATAGAGTTGAGGGTCCATATCTGGGCTCTCTACTCTGTTCCACTGGTCT